TTCATGCGTTTCATTTATGTGAGCTCGTTTTCAGTTGTTCATGTCTATGGGAGTGTCACATGTTTTTGCCTTTTTTGCATAAATAATGAAGGTTAATAATTGAACTGATTATTCGCCAGTTAATGTGTCTGCTGGTGAAGCACTTGGGTCTGATGAGATTGTGAGGCCTTTTTTGTCTATTGAAGGATCTTCCGCTTGGCTGTCAACAATAATAATAAAAAAGATAAACCACATCTCGTCTTATTTCATGAAGCATGAAGTAGTTTGTCTTGAAAATGTAAATGTTTTGAAAGGCTTTTAGTTTATTGGAAAGACTACGTTTCTTAAATAAGCATTTATTATTCGTGGCAGTTAATGACAGCAAATATTACAATCATTTGTCAATTGTAATCAGAATTTAAAGGTGCAGTCATTTTTTGTTGGTTGACATTTCATAACTTCATGCTAGTGAATTGAGAAAATTTACATGAAACTCTACTTCCATTATTTTGTACAAATAATTTCCCTTTGACAATGGTAAATTAAGTTTTTATTTTTAAAACAGCAGCTTAAAAATGATAAAAAATGTGAAATATTAAATAAGACTTTTTTTGTTGCACCTACTCTTGTATAAAATGTACCTCTACTGAAGTTTGTCACCAAAAAAAGCATTATATCTTTAAGATATACTTAGTATTTTTTTCAATCAAGATATTGGATAATGGAAAAAATATACTGATCCGTTTCAAAAACTAGTTATTACTCACTCCCCATCGATATATTCTACATCTTTAATAACAAATTAAGAAAATACGTACTCAGTATTTTGTGTAAAAAATGGAGTGCATCGGTTTAAGTACAATGTTAATCACAAATCTTCATAAATTGAAAACTGCTATACCAAAAACAAGGATCCATGGCTTTCTGTGTTGTACTTCAAACTGAAGGCATGACTGAACTGTTACACTGTGATTTCAACCATGCATTATATTCCTATAAGTTACATGTCAACATGGCTACACCTGCCATTCAACATTTGCTGCTTTTCAACTGAGGAGTAGGCTAACTAAAAGTAAAACTAGCTCAGCTGCTTTCAAAATAGTATGCCTACTACTTTTAAAACAAAAGGATGCATTCATTTTCACACAGATTAATGCAACCAATATCTATGATATCCGTCCAGAGCAAGTGAATCTTATGCTCTCCTATACCTTACTCCGACTATAGTAAATAGGTTCATTCAGAAAGAAGCAGCTGTGAAATCTGACATTATAAATGTTTTAAAAAAATTACTTCCTTCAATGCAAAGTCCAAACTGTACAGAACAATTTAGCAAAATACTTTCTAAGGGTAGCCTGACTTTTCCAGCCCTGCTGTAGTGGCTTTTAATTAAATTTTTCTTTAAATTTTTATTTAAAGGCAAGTTGTAGTTCACCTTGAGGAGCACAACATAACGACAAACACAAAGCACAAAATAGACTTGTTCTCTGGTTCTTTTCCTCAACTTTAATTGCTCTCTCTAGCCATTTGATGACAGCGAAAGAACAAGCGTGGAATCGTTTCATGAGGGACTACAACAGTATCTTTGAGCAAAAGTTTTATTTATTTTTTATGATTTTTTTTTTTCAGTGGGTTTTTAGTCACCTTTTTCCTGTAAAAGTATTGCAATTAACAGACCTCAAACTGAAAACCGCTGACATCACAATTAAATAGAACAATAAAAATAAAACAAAAAAGGCGTGAGGACAGCAGCGTTCCTCGCTCACTGAACGGTTTCTTCTTCTAAAATAAAAAAAATTGTAGTCCACAATATAGGTCGTAGAGTCCTGGGATGTGTTCTCGCTCAAGCCCGATGAAGAACATTGCTGTGGATTGGTGGGAAATTCCAGATCCACGGACCGAGATGCTGAACTCACCCACACAAGTCTTCAGTCAGTCATCCATTGAAGCGCGTGTTTCTGGAGAGGAGAGCTCGGAACCAGACTGCTACGCCGAGGAAATAATGACAACATGAACATGCAGTAACGATCAGCTATGGGCTGGATTTTCCTCATTTGATGCTCTTTTATATTCCACACAACTCGATTATGTGCATAAAAACAACAACAGAATGTTAACCGTTTGCCACGGACGTCCCACCGAGCCGATAAAGCCTCACCCTGAGCTGCGTTTTGATATGAACCACTAAACCTTGTCCCGGGTCGGAGAAAAGGCCGAGTGGGAGCCCAAAAGTCGACAATTGCGGTACAATGACGTTATTGTTCTGCGTGGTGGTTATTACACGTCCAAACAGCTAGCAGTCACAAAATAAACTTCAATAAATAAAATGACAAGCGCTGGCATTTATAATTCGTTCTCTGGAAGTTACAAAAGCAGCAGCTAGTTATCCTTTATATAACTGCCTTATAATCAGAATATTTGTTTCAGCACATAACAGATTTGCATTTACTGTATAGGAAAAAATATATATATAAGTCGTCATTTTGTATTTCTGTGACCATACTGTAGCATTTCTCTTTGCAAACTTACTCTGTTTTACAAAAAAGACAAAGCACAATTGAAGGCATTCACAAAAACTTGATGCCACCGTGTTTAAAGTTTTCTTTTTAATATTATCTATACATTATATTACAGTATTAACAATGCGTTCTTGTGGTTTTCTACCCATTGGGTAGGATATGTGCATAATATATTCAAGTTATATACAGCACCGTACAAATAAACAGAGTCCGACTACTGAAAGAAGCACCATAGGAAGTGAGGCACAACAAAGGTGGGGGCTTTTGAGTGCAAGTGGGTTTCTATGTCTGCTTAAACATGACTGTTAGGCACCGAATTTGCTCGTGTAAATAGTAACATGCAAACCTCTCGGCTGCAAACGTAAAAAAACAACAACAAAAAAAAAACACATTTGGGTTCGTTTTCCTAGCACGACTATGGCGGCGAAAACACGCTAATGTTAACGAAAAACCAAAACGAAGAACGAACATCTATGTCTCGGTTGATATGCGAATATAAAGTAATGGGGAAGTGGACATAGGCCTACAATAACTAACGGACAACAGCAGCAGCAGTAGCGGTAGCAGCAGCAGCAGCGGCAGCAGCAATACAGTACGAACTCAAACTGCGCGGTCAGAATGAGTGACGGGAAGCCAAGCTTTCAGAGCCGAAGCGGATGGGCGACAGGAGAGTCTTGCTATTCAAGGGGGCAAAAGGTCATATAAAAGCCTATTTTAGAAAGCAAAGTGGCGCTTTTTTAGTCCACTTTGACTAAATATGCTCTCAAACTGGTCACTTTAATAAATAGCTAGTTGATAAATAGGTTTTTTATGGGACTTTCTAAAGGGAAGGCCAAAGAACGATGGTTTAACAAAGCTCAGGTGTGGTCAAAAACACAATCAACACATCTGAAAGCATTCCAAAGTGTGATTGAATACGACTTCAAATGAAGAAAGAAAAAGGGGGATGTACCTCGTCACGATTGGTACACGTTTCGTTTGAACTGATATAAATACTGATGACAAATAATAAAGAGATAAAAGCGTGTTCCTGTGCTGCCTCGGAATAAAACGGCATTCCAGGAGAGGAGAGTAAAAGATAAAATATGAGATCCATATATGATCGTGAACTAAAGTATAGTATGGATAACTGAAAACAAAACTATATGCATGCTTTTTTTAGTGGACAACAAACTATGAGATATGACACACTCGCTCAGAAGGGGACAGGATGTGCATAAGACTACAGTTCCCATGATTCCCTTGCACTTGGACCCCATGACAATGCTGAAGTGATGCAAGTTTAAAGTGCTACTGGACAGGATGAAAGTGGCGTGTGTGTCGTGAGACTTCCATCCGCAGATATCCATGCCAATATCTCTCACTTGGTCAGATCTGGAATTTGAACAGCTCGTTAAACCCCCTCTTTTTTTTAATAAGTGCCATGATGCAGTTCAGGTGTGGAGATTTTAGGCTGGATCAGAGTTCTACATCTCCATTTCAGGAAAACGCGAAACGTCAAAAAGGAAGAAAAAAAATCCCAGGAGCCATGTGGATTGACGTATGAAAAGTAACTAAGGGTAGGCGTTTCTACTCTTGAAAGAATAAGTGCAACATAAAGACGTTTTGTTGTTGTTGTTGTGAGTCACATCCCCAAGATTTAAGATTTTTTTCATGGCACTCGATTTTGATTGGTTGTGAACAGTTTTTTCGTGCACGAGTTCTGGAAATACACAAACAAATAGAAAATGTCTCAATCCTATGACCTGTGTGGTCTCTCACGCAAACAATCTGTGCCAACACTCGTGTTCTTTAAATACAGGAAAGCATACAAAACCAACCAAACAAAGAGATTTAGCCGAGGAGCCCAAACATCCATACAAGGCCCCGAAGTTCTTGCAAAAACAAAACGAAATCAAATAAAAATACAAATTCAAAAAAATAAACTTTGTAAGCTTGGTTCCTCAATTTTCGATTCAAATTGTGCAAGGGGAGCGTTTAGGTCCCCTTTAGGTCCAGGAGGAAGTACCAAAGAGCATGTGCGCTCTCTACTGCCCTCTGCAGGTGTGTCCTAGTCACACGGGTTTGTCGTGCCGGCTATCTTTAACCTTGACGAACAGGGTTGTGCTTGCGCCAGGCTGGGCGGAGCGGCTGGCTGTCCTCTGGTTGGAGGGTGGTGTGTTATTGCTGTGCTGGTGCAGGAAGGAGGTGGAGCCTGGGTACGTCTGACCCATCACCTCGCTATAGGTGGGCGGCGGCTCCTCCACGTGCGAGTTCGAGGCACTCTTGCCAGAGTTGCTGCTCGGGGGCCGCGGGCCGCCTCCGTGCACGTAAACGTCTATCAGGTCGCTGTCGAATATGGTCCGGTTGGGGGGCGCACGCACGGATGCACGGCTCAACTCGAGCTGCTGCTCGGGGTCTCTGAGCTGCAGGGTACAGGGGCCCTTGTAGGGCGGCAGCTCCTCGCCGTCTGACAGGCAGATGGTGGGCGGCAAGTGGATGTCCTGCTGCAGGTATGGGTAGGTGGGCTGGAAGCGGCTGAATCGGTCCCTTTGCATAAATGAAGGTGGGTTGAAGCGCTCTCCGCTCCGTGGCCCATACATCACCTGAACATAGAGATGGGAGAAAATCAACCTTATTAGAAATGAACCCAAGAATAAAAAACAATAAACAATTCAAACGAGGTCTATGCAAACATGCAGCCAGGCTAATTATAGAATTAGTTAATTATACAATCAATATACAATGTTGTTTGAAAGTTTCGGATTTTTTTATGTTTTTGAAAGATGTGCCTCAAGGATGCATTTATTTGACCAAAAATACAGTAAAATCAGTAATATTCTGAAATATTTTTTACAATTTAAAAGTTTTCTATTTCAATATATTGTCAAATGTGATTTATTCCTGTGATGCGCAGCTGAATTTTCAGCATCATTACTCCAGTCTTCAGTGTCACATGATCCTTCAGAAATCATACTAATATTCTGATTTGCTGCTCCAGAAACATGACTATTATTATCAATGTCAGAAATATTTTTTCATATGCTTCATATTTTTGTGGAAACTAATACATTTTTTTCTGGATTCTTTGGTCGATAGAAAGTTCATGCATCCTTGCTGAATAATAGTATTAACTTTAGACCCCAAACCTTTGAACAGTAGTGTATATTTAGTAACAGTTCATATAAGTAAATAATATGGCTCTTTATTACTATGCACTGTTACCTATTGTTGTGCATAGCAAAAAGGATATAATTGTGTTTATTTAGTGTAAATATAGTAATTTCAGAGCATAAATGTTGAAATCTATTGACTGTCCTTGAAAGGGCGAAAACATATTGTGAGTTTCGCATGCTATTAGCTCTTAGCTATGTTGCCCAGCCATAAACTTGACAGTAAAACATAAAAGCAATGAATAATATTTTGCAGAAAGGTTGAATAATAGGTCATGTCAGTTAACTAACCTCAGTGGCTCCTTGTTGCGTCACCAAACTATCTGTTGGCCATGCACAGCCGTCCTATGATACAGAAAAGAGAGGCCGGTGTGAGTCATGCATTATGAACAAGACATAACATCAACTTCATCTCATGCATCAGAGTTTTAAGTTTGGGTAGAAAAAAAAAATCTAATTTGCTCCAGGCATCAGAAAAGTTGATCTAAATTCACATGCATAAACACTAGAACACATTAATATCATGCATTATTAATTCAAGACCGCTGGTTAGTCTTGTGGCCTCTAAACATGCAGCTGTAGAAACTGTGCTGTTGTCGACATTTATGAGCTTGTTTCTGAATTTAAGAGCTTGGTTCCTTTCATGCTCTGCATCTGTTCCTAAATCACATCTTCACCTTCTTCATATCTATTTATGACTCTCTCTCTCGTTCTGGGAGGCGAAATGGACTGCAGTCTAGACGAGCATGTCTCGCTCTCAACTACAGGATGTAAATCAACATAAAGAAGAACCAGGGATGTGCAGAACTATGCATTTCCAAAAGAAACTAGTTTGTGTGTTACCTAAAAGACTAGTTAGCCTTAGAAACCCTGTATGATTAGGTTGATTAAGTCCACTATCAGACGTGTTTCTTAATGAAATATGGATACCTCTAAACTTTTATAGCACAAAACTACCACAGAAAACAGAGACCTGTGGATTATAATGCATAATAGCAAATATTAAAGGTACAAGTTAACCTCACTAATGGAGCCAGTCGTCCCTCCTGACCCATCCCTAGTAACTACATAATGCATTTGTGCAGGTGTACCGACACAAAGACCCTGAAGCTGGCACGCACATCGCTGAGTCCCATATGAGCACGGTCACAAAGTCACACACATGGTGATCAAACAAAAGAACAGGAACTCTACACCCACTCAGAGCACACACAGACAGGACACACATGGTGACTGGAGAATCGAATGAACACACACACAGACACACACACACACAC